TTCAACAATTGGAACTCGTTTACCATTACCAATGATTTGCACAACCTTGTATTCTTTGTTCTTCTTTATGATTTTCTTTAAAAATTGAACATACTTGTCCAGCACTGCAGACTTTACAATGGCTTTTTCGAATTCGTTTCTTGTAACCTCGACGTCGCAACTGTCTCTGCCGATTTCTATATTTGTTTTAGCTTTCATCGAGATAGAAAGCTTTTTTTTAAGACCCATAATAGCGGTCCAAAAAGAAGGTAAAGCGTCAGACAAATTGTACTTTTCTTTGATTACGCACTTGTCGACCAGTATAGAGAGTAAGATGTTGTCTAGCTTCATACCATTAAAATCAGTGTAGTTGAAGCACTTGTCTTGAATCACTTTTATGTTATTGCCATCACTACTGTCTTTGAACAAACAAAGTTCGTTTGTGATGTGGCCTATGTCAAGAATCATGAACTTGCTGTCGAACTGTTTTACCAAGTCGTTGTTCATTGAAGTGTAATAAATCGCAGCAGCACCTGTCGAGGGAAAAATTCCATTAACGTTAAAGTCTGCTAGTTTCGCGACTTGGACCATATCCGCGCGGGAGTTATAAGTAGAGTCGTTAGACAAAGACAAAACCAGATTGTAAACTTTATTTATGTCTGCGAGCTTTCTTTCCTTAACAAACTTTTTGATCAAAATATATAGATATTTCATCCACATTGAAGAAACAAAATTAATGTTATAAGATTTATCTTTGAAATCGGATTTGTACATCCAAATCAAGTTTTCGTTGTCGTAATAAATGTTTTGAGGAATGAATTTCTCTGGATACCCCAGAGACCCTAGCCTTTTGTTGTCGATTTTTTTGCGATTTTTCAAGGTTTGCTTAAAAGACCCTATTATATTAGTGAAGCCCATGTACATGTTTTTCAAAGCTTTTTGAGAAGAAAGAGCTTTAGAACCAAACAACATGGGGTAAGTACTTATGTTCAAAGTTGTATTTATGACACGGTCAGAACTCGGATCTAAAATCATTTCACAATTGTTACCTGGAATCGTGGCGCATGCTTTTGTGTTTTGAATACCACTGTCAATGGCAGTACTGAGTTTATTGGTACCCAGCACGCATACAAGCATTAATATAAAGCAGTTCCACATAATAAAGGCCCCTTTAGTATTATTATGAAACGACTAGATTAAACTTGTTTATTTAACGAATTTATAAATAAATTTAAAATGACTAGAATAACGTGGAAAGATAGATAATAGAATAAATTTTGTACCGACGTATATTTCTCTGCACGAGTGTTGTACTGACTAAATCAATCCTTTCATAGCTTTTTGAGATTTTAAAAGTACATTTTCAGTTTGTATTTTAGTGTAGATGAACTTTTTGATTTCAGTCAATAAGGGGTAGTATTTGTAAACTGAATATTTGATAGATTGGTTTAAAGCTTGGAGTTCACGAGAAAATGCCACAGGTGGCGAGATGTTTTGATCCAAGTCGTTGACTGCATATTTGGCTAACCGAGCGAACTGCTGAATACAGTCACTAATTAAGTTAGTAGTTGTTTTGTCAGATTCGTTCGAATTGGCGACATAATCTTGGTAATACGTCATGCTTGCAGACGTGAAGTACTGTATAAAGCTAACGAGTTTCGTGAAAGAAGCGTCGTTCGCTTTTTGGTCAAGGTACGGACAGTGGCGAAGTCTATCTGAAACGTTTACATTAATTCTAGTGACGGTCGTTCGAAACACGAGGTCAGAGTAACTTTCATATTGGTTTCCAATAAACAAAGATTCCAGCAGTTTGTTCGCACGCATGATGTGAGCCTGCGATATAAAGTACTTATTAACCGCTAAAACGTGCGAACTCGTGAGTTTATATAAGAAGTTTTCGAAAAACGAGCTTCTAAGTTTTGCGTAATACGCGGATTTCAGCAAATTGATTTGCTGCTGTTCAGATTGCGGAGAAAGCATGTAACTTGGAGACTTAACTGAGTATACAGTAATCTTCTTGCTTGTGCGATTTATTACAAAGTACAGCTTACGTGTTGTTTTCTTGACTATTCGTGGATTTTCATACATCAACAGCTGAAGCTTATTATTATACGCATCAGTGAAAGTGAAAAGATGACCGAGGGAGTTGTTTGATTCCTGGTAAGTGTTGATAGGGTTGTACGGATTGATGTGATACCAACGCTCGGTGAAATTTTCATTACACAAATTGTGTAGGTCAAAAATCTCGTAGCGGACCTTTTGTCTTTTTGACACTGTAGAAATATCTACGTTGTTGACATCAGCTGTGCGGGTACTCCTCGCACCCGGGTTGAGTTTCAAATACTGGTTGTATTTTGAAATCGTTTCATTTGTCGAGGTATTGAGGACCTTAAGAGGAGATTTGGAATTTGCGTCTAACAGGTCACATGAGTAATCGTAGTGAAGTTGATTTCCCAAAACGATATTAGTATAACCCTCAGACGGTCTAACGATAGAGCTGTGGATAGTTCCGGCGATATATTTGCTCACTAGCAGATTTGAAACGAAATCCACAGCGTCTGAGTATCGTTCGTCGTAAATCATTTTTTTAACTACACGTACGTCAGAAATCGTTGAAATGTTGTTGTTGCGAATAGTAGCTTTGTAAACACGCGTGTTTTCGTTGCTCAAATTGGCTACCAATGCGTGGGCCCCCATTTGTTTAAAGTATACGTCGTTGTAGACGCTTTGTAGGATCTGAGAAAAACGACCATCGTAGAGATGAATGTTGCTGTGTGTAGATTTATCTTCAATCACATATTCAGCCAGCTTTGAAGCACACTTCAAGAGCGATTTTTTCGAAACCTTTCCGTGTCGAATGATGTCGTAGCTCCATTTGCGATTGGAATCTAAATTTTTGTTCAGAAAAGCCCGCATACCTTCAATTATAGAAAAGCGTGGGTACGACTTGCTCAGTGCATTTAGCATGACAACTCGAAACGGAAACGATGACAATTTTATTGAGTCTGTGTCAGCCCGAATCCGGAAATACGAACGACTGCCGGAGAAGTATCCAAAAAAGCATTTATATAGTTTTAAGGCGTCGCGAATTTTGTGAATTTCGACGAATTGTTCTTTGTCTTTGTCGTCAAGATCGCAAAAATTAATGAGTTTTTCGAGTAGAGCCACCAACTGGAGTAATTTTTCGTGATATTTGTTAGTATTTTCGCTTGTGAACTTGGTGAAAGAGCTTTCTAGCACGTCTAAACATTTGTAAAACGAGTTTGACGCGTCAGCGACTTTGTTCAAGTAGTACAAAACCTCGTTTTGAGCAGTTACTTCTTTTTTGAAAATAATACTGTTTGAGTAGGCGCAGCTTTGGTTGTTTTGTTCGACGACCTTTTTTATTTTAACGCTCGTTTCATTGCAAAATCTGATTACCGAATAGAGAATGGTGTTTTGCACATCTTCGATGAGCAGGTCAGCCACGGTCACATTTTCAAGTTTAGGATCGCTATTAAGCGGTATCGCAGTGCGTCTTCGCTTGGCAATAGAAGACATAATATTGTATTGTTAAATCAGCTTTCTGCACTTGAATGTCAACGTTTAGTTCATTAAACAATTCCCAATTAGTTCATATAGTCAATTTCACAGTTTTTACCTGACAATATTTTTGAAAGCGTCGTTGCAAAATTCTTATCTTGGCAAGAATGTTTAATGAAAATATTTTTTAATATTCCATAATTTTTGTCCAGCCGAAATAAATGACTATTTTTGAAACTCAATATAACTCATTACTACATTGCAAATAACATTTGAATTAATAATTTTTTTTTGTAACACAAGTTAATCAACTTGCTTAGTAAACTTTGCATTGTATTAAAAAACAATGATTTTAGATACTTGCATTTTCCGTGTTAATGACGGGGTCATTCTTTGTGAATCGCGTATTCGGCAAGCGATGCCCGAGGACGAATTCAATGAGCTGCGTAAACAGCGCAACAAGGTTTTGAAAGGCCTCACCAACAGGCGAATGACTAAGAACGACGCGTCGATCAACACAGTGATCATGGAATCTCAACGAAAAAATTAGTAAGTTGCGAGTTTAAAAAACCTGTAGTATTTTTGTTAACAAAAACATTGGAATCAGTGTAATAGCAGACAGAAAATCGTCTTCACAAGTCATTTTGGCATATATAGAAGAAGTTTATACGTTATTAAAAACTGAAATGAGCAAGAATTATAACATCACGGAAAACAATCAAAATGTAGAAAGCTATAAATTTTCCCCTTACGAATTTATAAAGCTAGAAAGAGCGATTTACAAGAAAAACTTAGAAATAGACAACACCGACCGAAACCCGCGCCTAAAACAAATGAAAAATAATTTAGACTCGCTGCAGAATCTGATGCAATCAAATTTGAACGAATTAATTTTACGTGGCGACAATTTAGAAAGCGTGTTTACCAAAGCGTTTGAGCTTAAGGAATTATCGAGCAAATTTTCAAGTAAGTTTGACAAAAAAAACTATTTTTAGCGAAATCAAAGTCATTAGCAGACACTTTGAGTTGGCGGAATTTTATTTTGACAAGCGTTTCGCTTTTAACTATTGTCTTTATTTATCTGTTTGTGTTCCGTCGATGAAAAACAAAAAGACAAATATTAAAAATATTGTAAATAATTAAAAGAAAGAGGTCAATAAATCCCAGTCTCAAATTTAAGAAAACTTTTAGTTATGACGTCCCGTGTTGAAGTTTTTCTTGAGCGAAAAAAGGTGTTGAACAAAAATTTACCCAGCGAACTGACATGTTTGACGCTGGACGGACTGAACATCAGAGAATTCAAGGAAGAAGATAAAAAGTTTCTAGAGCAATTCACAGCCCTACAGTTTCTGGGCTTGAACGATTGCAACCTTCGCTCCACGGCGAACTTCCCCAGCATACCTTCGTTGGAGTGTTTAGAAATACACGACAACCACTTGGCCACAGACGAGCATGCTGAAACTATAGTTCGATGTTTTCCCAACCTTGTCGAACTGTTCATGGCTGGGAACAAAGTCGAGTCCTACAGCTTTATTGAAAAACTTATTCCTTTGACGAAGCTAAAAGAGCTAGATTTGGATGCAAATCCAATATGTCAAAACGCAACCGCCACTCAAAACTTCGTGAGCAAAGTGTTTGGCATCCTTAAAACTTTGAAAGTCGTAAACATGTACGATAACGAAAACCAACAAATTAATGACAGCGAAGAGACCGATTCAAACAACAGCGACGATGGTATGTTTATTATCGAGGACAGTGAATACTAGGAAAATAGCACTTCACGCATGTCTTACTCATGAAATTCATGGTTCGTTTCAAGAATGCAGTTTGCTTCGCACGTATTCAATCTCCACAGATCTAATTTTTTTTAGCGGAGAATGACAACGATGACTTGTTGTATAAACTAGTATACGGTGAGTTTGGTAACGAAGACGACGAAAGTGACGAACTTTATGTCGAAGAATCGGGCGGTAATTCGCTCGTTGACGATATGGAAGACGACAGTTTACTTCTAGACTCTGAGCTGGAAAAAATAGATTCGAACTTCGAAGATTCCGACTACGAGTACAACTCAGATGAAGAAAATAAAAAAAGTAAGTTTTTCGCGGTACCATTTTTTAGATTTGAAACGGTCTATAACAAACGACACCAATCAACTTTTAAAACATCATAAAAAGAATTGATAAAATTGCAAATCGAGCTAATCACTTGAACTATTTATCAACCGTACGTTCAAGTATACGGATGTAAGTGTCAGGACGCGGCGGCGGTGTTGCTGGCAAAATAAATTTTGGATAGTTGTGTTTTAGCAGATCTTTCACCCTCACTATGTTTTTTTTCAAACCATTAATTAGTTTTACGTTTTTTTTATTAGTTTTTTTTTCTCCACCTTTCTCCGTAACGGTGTTGATTGACTCTTGCTTTTTATCCTGCTCGAAAAAAGCTTTGTTAGCTGAGAAAACGTCGGGCGCATATTTGCTAGCAATTTTGTAACTTGATGCTTCGTCATCGTTCGTTCGTTGCACAAAAGAGTAGTGGTCACTTATGTTCATGTAGTACTGTTTGTTTTGATCACTCAACATATTGTATTCCTTGTTGTACAGTTGCTGGACTGAATTATAATTCGTATCCAAATCGGACGCCAAGACTTCAAAGTTTTTAACACAGTGTATTGCATCTTTTTTGTCGTTGTTCTTCCAATAAGCTGCTCTTGTCAACTGCTTAGTAAACTCAGTGCATTCATCGTCAAGTCCAGATTCCACAGTTTTAAACAACAGATGTTCATTGTTCTTGATAGTTTCATTAGCAAGATTATATTCGATTATAGCGTCAATTGTGTTTTCCACGTTGAATTTATTGACTTTTCTGATTATCATGTGTGGGTCTTCTTCCAACGAGAGATTCAATAAATCCACAGAATACATCTTCTTGATATCCGGGTCGTGCTGCACCTTATACAAATCGAATAGCAATTGTTTCATTTTGCGTCGACGTTGCTCACTGAGTTTCTTTTTATGCTCTGACTGGTGATTTTTTATGAATTGAATGTTTCTGTTTTCTATAGCTTCCGAACGCATTACATTAAGTGTATAATTCAGTTCAGTTGACACGTACTCAGTTTTTAAATGGTTTTCTCGCAATTGCCAAGCAAGTGTATTGATAAGCAGCTTTTTGGATTGATCGATCATATAGGACTCTTTGTTTAACATCTGTAATTGGTGAATCAGGCTTTCATATTTTTCTTTCAAATTGTATCTCCATTCACTTAGTTCTAGTTCTTTTTTAATGATATCGTCATTCGTTTGTATTTGGATAGCTTCTGCGATACAGCTGGAGTTGACTAATTTGTTGGTCATGTTATTTATACAGTTAACATAGTTTTTGAGCTCATTCGACGCGTCGTGCAACTGAATCTCTAAGTCACTTAGTACGTTTTTATCGATGATTTTTTCGAATTCCTTTGATCTCAAATGATTAAAGTAGTCTTCATTCTTGGACTTTATCAGCCTTGTGCTTGCCTTTAGTATATTATTGTTTTTTTCAAAGTTTCTTAACATTTCAAAGTTTTCTATTATTGTTTCAATGAGTTGACATGAATTACTTGACGCACTATCACAGAAACGGTTAGCTTTTGTCAACTGTGATTTATAGTCAAAGTTAGTTTGTTTTAATAAACCATTATTGTTTAGCAAATGAAAAGGAGACATTAACAACTCACCAATGAAGTTTGACTTTTTATCAAGATTTTTTAAAATATGCCCCGAGCTTAAAAATCTCTTGTTATCTTCTATTGCGTGATTCAGGTTATAAGGTGACAACTCTAAAACTTCAAAACCATTTGTGAAAATCACCAACTTCCGGATCATGTCGATAGAGTCGTTTCTCGTTAAAATGTGTAAATAGCACTGATTGTCTTTTTCTTTGAAAATCCTTATCATTTGAGCGTATCCTTCGATTCGGAAATTTGATTCTTTTATAAGACTATTTAGCGTTACTTTTAAAATTGTGACGAAGTCTGTTTTAACAGACGATTTTTGAATTACTTCTAATTTTTGATTCGTGTTGTTGAAATAGTTTTTTATGACGTCGAAATACACCGCGAAAGGTTGATTGAAGATAAATTTATTAAAACTAGCTGCTTTTATTTCACTGTCAATATTCACTTTAGCTTCATGTTTTCCATCTTCAGTAGGGATGTATATCGCTTCCAACACGACAAAACCGGCTTTAATCGATAATTTTTCAGAATATTTAAAAGGAAGTTTAACAACTATCCCAGTTTTCAAGTTTTTTATCTCAATATAAAAAAGATTAACGTGAAATTCGCACTCGATGTTGCTGTTTTCGAAGTAAAAATTAATATAACCGGGCAAATAGATAGTTTGATCTGAAGATTTTAAAGACCAACAAGAGAAAATATGCTCTTGAGTAGTAACGCATTTGTTATGAATTTGCATTTGTTTAAGAATCAATTAAGATCATCATAACTCGATTTCGACTCTGGATTTAGTTCGTTCACATATGCACCACTTATAAATAACGACGAAAATAATTTATAGAACTACTAACGACTGAATATGTATTTTTTTAGCTAACTAAATCTGCATAGGCGTTATTGCAGTTTAATACCGAGCATTATTTATTCGTAATTGTATATTCCACTTAATTTAATAATTTTCTATAAATTTTCTAATATCTTTAAAGTCTTGTCAAGAAAATTGAATTTTATCCGCGAATATATATGATATCCTACAGTAATTTGTCTCATTATTCATACAATGGGAAATATAATGATATCAAGTAAGTACATTCTTTTTTTTTAATTTGTATCTAGCAATGTAATCGAAAAAGCGTTAATCGATAAATCGAACTTTTTTCCTCACGACGCCACAATATACAGTTCTCTGGCAAACGCTAGGAGACGATGTTTACAAAAACCTGTCAACGAAGCAATCAAAGTAGAGAAAAAGTTTGTTATATCGCCTGAAAACAGATCACTCATTATGTACGAACTAGTTGCGATGAACCAAGCTTTAGAAACACATAACATCAATTGTATATTATCAAAAATCAGAAGCCAGAATTCGAACTACAATTTCAAAAAACAAAGCAACGACCAAACGACTACACTTTCATGCAATGCCCTTCTGCAGTCGATTGGCGAGGAAAAGAACGAAATCGAAAAACTCAAAAATAGCATTTGCAAAACGGACAACTGGTTTTTGTCGGAAGAATTGTTTAATCACATCGAATCGTCATACCAAAATTTAGTTAAGCCTACCCAGTAATGCAATATTGGTATAGCGATCGCGCTATTTCGCTTTATGCGTCAAAACAATAAAATATGTTTTTATTGACGCGTGCAAGAATATATGATATAATAAAATATTTTAAATTACACTAAACCCAGACAATAAACATGGAAAACATTAAGAAATATATGCGTAAGTGTTAATATAATATTTATTTTTTAGGCGCTCCAAGCTTGACAGTTCCAAAGTGGGTTAAAAGTAATAAAATAAGTAAAGCGATCAAAAAAGGACTTAAGTCTAATTCTACTACATCGGAAAATATAATAGAAAATTCGAGTCAAATGAAGCAAGGAAAAATTAATTTGGTAAATCAACACAAGTACCACATCGATAACTTTGTCGACATGCCTGAGCCCATTGAGATCGGGAATGATGAGTATCAAGTTTCGCTTCGAGACGCAGTTATGATATCGAACTGCAGAAATTGTTCGATCATTATTCACAAGAAGTTTAACAAACTTGAAATAAACGAATGCAACAATGTCAACGTGAGATTCTCAAGCATTATCGGTGCCCTTGATATTGAAAACAGCATTTCGTGCAACGTTGAATCGACAGGCTTTACGCCATGCATCAACATTGACTCTAGCCAAAGCGTGAGAGTAACTATACCACAAGAAAATTCTGATAATGTCGAAATTTCCAGTAGCGGCGCTGGTTCGGCTGAAATCCTTATTAAGTCAAGCGACGAATCAGCGGAACAGATCTGCCACATTATTCCTTTCCAATACGTTCATAAAATTGTGAACGGAGAACTGGAATCGAAACGATCACCACTGTACGGAACTAGGAGAATAAATCCCTAATTTAGCTGTAGTCTGCTAGTTTTGAATATTCATATTTTTAATTTGTATATCGCAAAATTCAACCAGTTTTATAGCAGCTTGCCAAGCATAGTGTTCTCCAATTATTTCAAATTTAATATTATCTATATCACCACGACTGTCCATAATGTCAGAAAATTTCCATAGCTGTTCTATCTCGTGTAAACTAATTTTTTTGTTTTTAGAATTGATGAAACCATCTAAACAACTATGCTTGTAACAAACCGTATTGTTGTGCTTCCACGTTCGATTTGCATTTAAAAAGTCTTTTGCAACTTCAACAACAGCTGCTAAGTCTTCAACTACAAAATCTTTTGGAATCCATATAGTCAGTTCAACTTGCTTAGACCAAAAGTGCGTATAAATATCAAAAGCGTTAAAGGTCACAACAAAATTCCGGATTTGGACGAGACAGTGCAACAAACCCAAAATAGAACGATCACTGGAACTTACAGGAGTCATGTGGAGCGTAAAATGATTATTTTCAGACTCTGCTAATGATTTAAAACGATACAACAATTGCTTATATATAGGAAACTGCAAAATGGACGAAACGCTTTCGGCCGATGCTAGAACTTGAATCTGCGATTCTTGAGGGTGGCTTGCAAATCCAGAATCAATATCATCCAAAGCACATGATAGTACTGACGGATAACTTGGCAAACAAGTGTGAAGCAACGGGATGGCGAACGAAAAATCGGGGTTGTAATTTTTATTGGGTATAGCCTCAATATCAGATATTTTTAAATAACTAACTTCTTTATCAGTTTGAATATGTCCGTTTATTCTCAATTCTTTTTTATAAAAAGGGCAGCTCAATGTAATAGATTCAAATTCTCCCCCTTCCCCACAGACATTTAACTCCACTTTTTTGCTGAGTTCGACAAATCGGTAAAAAAAATCGTATATGTTTTTTCCAATGAAAGAAGAATCAAGTCCAGTAGCTGCTGTCTTAATTAAACAAAAATCAAACAAATCTGCGTTTGACAACAAACTGGTAAGCATAATTCTTTGACCCAGGTGCCATAATGGCGCGAAACTTTTCAGTCCTAGTAAAGCACAGCATTTCTCTACCCTAATTCGTTGGTAATCACTCCACAAAGCACCGGAAACCACAAATCGAAGGTCTGGAATCTCAGATTTCAAAGAAGAAAGTGCAAGATATAAATCGTAAACCTCGTCAGCTTCGTTCAATTCGTAATCGAAATCAACCAACTCAGGCTTTCGTTCTATCATACGGACATACTTATGTTCCAACTCGAGACAATTATTTATTATAAAGGTCGTTACGGAGCTCCCAACGCTTTGATACATATAAGAATCCGTTTCATCGCTGTTATTCAGCGGAGTCAAATGTATAGCACCGCAAACTGATATACCCCATGATTTAGCTAAGTGTAATGCAAGAACACTGTCTTTACCACCACTGAGTAATGCGACTCCTTTCATCTCGATGAACTTATTCCTCACAAGACAAGCACAATTGTTTTAGCAACTACACTAAATTTATTGGATACAAAAAATTTTTTATTTATGGCTCAGCCGAGAAATTTAAATTAGTAAAAATTTTTACAAACCGAAATCGGATGGTTTTCGATCTGTATAAATCCAACTGGTTCCCTGCTGAAATTTTAGAGCGTTCAGTCCTTCTTGAGTGGCTATAGACTTTCTAAAATCTACGTCTTCTAAGAGTATTTGCAGAATCGTCAAACATTGTGGGTATTGCAGCAGTTTTATGCAATCTGGCTTTTTCCAATAACTTAGATGTTGCAAAAACTCAATAAACTCGGGCTTTTCCAAGCACCCATCCACCGCCAGCTGATGAACAAATTCTGCGTTTGCTAAACTTTGAACAAAGTCAAGTTCATACTTAACTTGGTTGATTAGCGACTGATCAGCATTGCTATACAGATTACTCATTAGATTTTAATACTACTTTCCACACGTCAAATAACAAGATAGACGATACTAGCAATTTAATTCGTTGCTAATCTATGCAACAGAATATTAATAAAATTTTATTTTATATAAATATAAATTTGTTTACCGTGTTTATGGAGAAAGTTCTAGTATAGCGTTGACAATGTCTCCGTCGCAACGTTTAAGTGCTTCTATACAATTTTCTTTAGTTTCGTGAGGCAGAGATTTCATAACACTTAATACTTTCTCTTCGTCCAGGTCATCGAGTTCTTCTTCAGTGAATGTTACATCTTTCAGATTTCGCTGGGCTTCGTCGCTTGTTTTGTTTTGAGTTGTTGTTGCATCAGTTTCATCTGTGCTTTCAGACGCCTTTTTTTCTTTATAAATGTTTTCAAATTGTTGCATCAGCTTTTTTTGTTTGAGAAGTGATTCAGCATCTGACACGATGTTTCCAATAATCAGATAACCCATGGACTTGTTTGGACCAGGCACCTTGAATACAATCGCATTCGGAATACAGGCTGGCGAAAATTGCGTTTTGTGGAACAGCGAAACTTTTTTAATATCGTAAACAGGCTCTAAACCCATTTTTAAATAATACTGTACAGTCTTACGGTCAGCATGACTCAGAGATTCATAAAAAGGAATTGTTTTCGGATTTTGCGTCATGTTATTTTTTTCAAAAAAGATCAAAAATAATAAAATTTTTGGATTTTTCTTATAGTAAATACAAGAAATAATTTACTGATAATAATGATTATACAAGGAGTTGTAGTTACTATTGTTATATTAATTATTATAATTTGGATAATAACAGGCTGTTCATCTAAAGATGTTTCTGTAAACCAGGTATATACTCGTCACCTCCCCCAGTATTGCACAAACGTCAACTGCATTCATTGCCAAAATGCCAACCGATTCACTACGACTACGTATCCGTGTGGCGGGTGCCAGAATTTTAACTGCAATTATTGTCAGCGTACAACTTTTATCAACAGCTGTACTTGCGGAAACGCTGGAAGTTGCACGTTTTGCAACATAATGGTAACACCCCCGCCACAACAAAACGTCACAATAGTCGAAGTTGTCGAAATTCTCTAGTTAAACATACATTAATTCAAAAATTATATTTAGCTAATTTGCTCAAATTAAATCCAGGGTTTATCTCATATATATTACTATAGGAAATCAAAAATTGAGATTTTTTCACCCAACGTTTTAAATTAGTTTTTTTAGATAGTATTACGAAGAATTAAGCAAAACACTAAGGTTATAAAACTTATTTGATATTTCGAATTTTTAATTAGTTAATTCTAAATTTTTTAATACTTATACAAAATTCATCGGTTAGTAATATGCAAAAAAAAAGTTGTGTAATATGTAAAAATAACGTAGCAAACTATACTTGTCCCTCTTGCAAAGCCATTTATTGTTCAGTCAGCTGCTGCAAACTTCATAAGGAAACTTGCAACGACGCAAATAACACCACAAGCCAGACTCAAGAACAAAAAAATAAAATACACAACTATGAACTGACAAAAAAAGAAAAAACAGCAATTGATGATTCAAAAGAGCTAGCCGACCTGTTAAAAAGTTCCAAGATGCAAGCCATGTTGTTGCGTGTGCGAAACGATCCAAGCTACATTTTTGAAGCGGAAAAAAATTGTGAATTCAATCATTTTTTATCCACATTAATTAATATTTACAGCTGTCAATAAAATAATTAATAATCAAATAATTAATAGTTATTTTTAGAATTATATTTATTTTTTTGAATTTTTCTATTATGAATAAAGTAATAAAAAGTTCACACATCCCAATAAAGTCGAAAAATAAGTCGGTGTCAAACTGCGCGTGGCATTTCAACGTTGAAAATGATGTTCTAAACTACGAAACACATTCTACAGATGAATCAGAGCCGCAGAACGAAAAAACCTCGCAAGAAAGTTTCGAAGACGATTTAACGACTAATATTTTAAAATCGATTTTGAACTATTCAGGAAATACGGAGCTGAACGAACACAAAGTGAGAATTGATGAAAGCAGAAACACCATACGTCATATTCCAGCTGTGAAACGAAAACCAAAAGTTTTGAACTTGTCGTATTACAGCTCAAACTCTAAAAATAAAAAAAAATTAAAAAAAAATTTAAAAGCCTCTAAAGTAAAATCTTTGCAAAAAAATAAATCTAAAGCATACAAAAACAGCTTCTAAATTAAATAATCTTTACCCTGAATAGCAATTAAAAAGCTCGCTTTGAGCAGCCTGCCTATTCATTCTCGACAAATCTAGGTGCGAGGAAATAAGTGATTGATCCAACGTATTTATCATTGTTAATATCGAGTTGGAGCTTCAAGAGCTGTTTGTTTGACAAAGACAGTTGTATTCGCTCGGCCAACATACACCCCTTAGCGAAATACAGCATGTATCTCGATGAAAAAATACATGAAACGTCCGCTGTGCAAGTTAGACTTACATTTTCAACTAAACTAGTGTCTTCTGGAGGGCTCGCTTGGAAAAAAGTACTTCCTTCACCAAAATCTCCTTCTGCAGAAAATTTAATTCCTTTCTGATTAACGTCAATCACCAATGTTTCACTGAATTGCGACAAATCTGTAATTGTTTTTATAAAAGACTTCGTAGACATTTCAATGACAGCTTCGTGCTGCATTTTTGGAATTCCCAGCGAATCTGTGTGCAACGACATCAAACGCAAATCGAAGCTGCTCACTTTGCGTTCACCTGGAGATTCAAAGATAAATGTAACACGATCGCTTTCTGTGTTTGGATTGTGGCGAATTATTACGTGATCATCTGGGCCACATAGCTTCATCACTTTTGTTACTTGGGTCATATTCAAACCCAAGCAGTATTGTCCTTTGCATTCGTAGTGATCAAACGCTCCATTAAGCAGACAAACTGATATGAGAGACACTTGCGAAGCGTCCATTGCTTGCACACCTAAGCCAGACTCTCCACATTCAAGGTTAATATCGTTAACCATCTCTTTGATAGATTCAAAGATTTTTTTCAATAATTGGCCCTGAGGAATTCTACACTCTAACATTTTCACAACTGGCCTAACTTTAACTTTTACCTTATCAAATTATATTTATTATTTTTTTATTTTAACTCAATATTTTTTTATTCAAAATCGTTTTGGAAGACGTAAAATATCACAAATACAATAAAGCTCTCATTTTATAATTAAATCTATAATCAAACTTTTTTATAATGATATGGCAAAAATTGCTGTTAATGTTAAACCTTGTACGGGCTGACTCGCCTAATCTTGGCTCAAAATCCAGATCTGTTTTAGTCTTGCACCCTAGTCAGCCAGACATGATCCAGCCGGAGGACATGAATTTCCTGATGAAAAACATTCGAATGCTTATAAATGAACTTCGTAATCAGACTGAAGGTTTGATCATCGAAAAGCAGCAAGAAATCGAAGGCAGTGGAAATTTCTGGCATATTAACGGCTCTGCCATTTATTACCCTGCGGGAATCACACCTTTAACAATTTAACGAATCCTGTTTAGACTCATTCGAATAATTAGAATGCTTTGAGTTAATTCGTTGGTAATTTTTTTGCAATGGGAATTTCCACTGGGCAGGCATCCTGGGTCGATTTCCTTCAACAATCTGAGATTCAATTGTATTTACTAAATTTTTACTTATGTTACTAATTTCTTCTTCTTGTTCTTCAGACAGTAATTTAAAGAACGTCGAGTGGTTAATCTCTCTAGCTGTATTTTGCAATGAGGAGTTGTAGATTAGTTTTTCTTTTGCGTCATATAATTCTCGGCAGATTTTTTCAGCAATGTCAAGAGGCACTTGCTGACCGTCTTTACACCGATCGAATGACCGAATTTCGTCCCACTGCTGCGCAATGTATTCTAATTGCTCAAAAGATAGCTCCGTTTGTTTTATCCACTGAAACATGAAATTAGCGCTTAATCTAACGCCGAGTTTTCCCCAAATGTTAGGAAAAAGTTTTGAATTAAAGTCACTTCGCATAATCCCATAACCTTGAAACGAACCACTTTCAAACGTACTTATAAGTATTATTACAATATTAGAATTTTGATATGCGTTACTAAGTTTGCTTATATTGTTTTTACCAGTTGCCCAAACTCCATATTTTATCGATGTTAGAAGACGAGAGTAGTTAGTAGACTTCAGTATGAAACACTGTATAGGTAAAGTTTCTCTGCTACATGAAATCGTCAGTGAATTGGGGTTCAAAATTGTATTGGAAGAGAGATACCGCACTAAATTGGATAGATCGAAAAAAGACACTGAAGGTTCTAAGTTGACCTTTTTTTCTAAAAATTTCCTCCACGTTTGATTCACTTCTTCTGCCATAGAACTGGGCAAAACATCAGTAAGATTTGCATTGTTTAGCACAGCCTCGAGAAATGCGTCTGGATACATTGAAACCGGCATGTCGTCTTTAGCTAGTTTTTGATGCTTTTTATCACAGTACGGACCTAGCGAACAAAATCCGTATAAATACTTTATACATAAATTTTCTCCACCGTCACTCATACCAGACTGCGTATTAAATTTATTTTTGACGGAACGAGAATTGGATATATGTTGAAACGGGCAGATGTGAAAATTTTCTTTGTTACATGCCATCTGCCGCAACGAATATTTACACTGAGGCATTTTGTTTTCGTCATAAAAATGCAAATAATTGCACAAAAGTCCGTTGTGACAACTATTAAACATCCAATTCCGGCACACAACCTCTCTTCGAGAGGGAGATAACATTTTTAAGAACTCGTATTCGTTTAACTTTACATTTTCAAAGTCGAATACCATAGAAAGAAGTAGTATTTATTGTATTAACCATGACTAAATTTTTTTGTGCATACATTTATTTTTCTTTCTATCGGTTAAAATCAAATTTTCATACATTTATTATTATTAAATATAAATCAAAACAGCAATCAAAATTCGTAATATAAAACATGACCAAATCAGATATAGGAGTGATCGGTATGGGTGTTATGGGCTCTAATCTGGCTCTTAACCTTGTTGAACACGGCGTATCTACATCGATCTATAATAGAAGTTACGAAAAAACTGAAGCTACTTATGAAAAAGCCAAGAATATTATCTCAAACGACGCGATGCAAGCTTTCAAAACGTTGGAAGATTTTGTTGACTCTTTAGCCTTTCCTAGAAAAGTTATAATTATTATTACTAGTGGTGAAGCGACCGACGCTATGATTAACGCACTGATACCTTTGCTAAGCAAAGGCGATATTATTCTTGAAGCGTCCAACGCCTATTATAAAGACACTCTAAGAAGAATGGAGGTGCTGAAGGCTGTGGGCATACATAATTTGGGTGTTGGAGTATCTGGTGGTGAAGAAGGAGCTAGAAATGGTGCCTCAATCATGGTTGGAGGAGACGCACAAGTTTACGCATTAGTAGAGCCTTTTCTAGCAAAAGCAGCCGCTGAATCTGTTTTTGGTAAATGTGTAGCTCGAGTAGGCGATAAAGCGTCGGGACATTTTGTGAAGATGATTCACAACGGGATAGAATACGCAATCATGGAATTTATTGCAGAAATTTATATGCTTTTCGTTGAGGTCTACAAATTTTCTGCTGGAGAAATCAGTGAGATTTTCGACAAATACAACAACACAAAACTCAAGTCTTACCTGATGGAAATCTCAAGCATTGTTACTAAAACAAAGAACCCAGATAATCCAAAAGAGTTTTTAATTGACAACGTATTAGACATTGCCGGTGCTAAAGGTACAGGCAAATGGACTATTCAAGAAAGCGTTGCGTACGACTATCCATGCCCCACTATTGCTGCAGCGGTATATATGCGTAACATAAGTGGCTGGAAAAAGTTACGATTGGAATGTCACTCAAAATTCGGATTTGAAAAATACCGTCCAGACAACAAACTGCCACCAACACCCAAAGAATTCATCAAACATGTTGAAGAATCTCTATATGGAGCTGTTCTTGTGGCACACCTTGAAGGTTTGATGTTGATGAAACACATTTCCGAAAAGCTCAATTTCAATGTCGATTTCTTAAATGTTTTGAAAGTATGGGCAAATGGATGCATATTAAGAAGTCCTATGCTAGAATTTTTGCAAAACACAGTCACAAAAAACAACTTTTTCCTAAGTGACTTCTCCGCCAGAGTCATAGAAGACTCTATAATTCACACATCAGAAGTCTTGCAAGTTTCAGCAATGTACTATTTACCTACTCCAGGTATTTCAGCGGCTTTCAGCCATCTTTGCAGTGTTTGTCAAAAAAAGAACCCGGTAAACTTAATACAAGCGTTGAGAGATCATTTTGGTGGACATACATTTTTTCTAGAATCTAACGATAAAAAACCAAAACACGTAAATTGGAAAAAATCTAGTTGGATAGACAAATAGACGGCACAATTTCGATAGTGGGTATAATTTTATATATAACTTAACAATAGATTATAAATGTAATTAATTTACATTAAGATATTTTTAATTACTCTAAAATTTGAGTATAATCACTTTAGCAATAATTAGGAGTGCAATTATTGACAATGAATAATTTAATTAAGAAATCTCTTGAGATAAGTGTAAAACTTGATAAATAATATAACTATTTTACTTAACAATCAATGATTAATAAAATAAACTAAAACTAAAACTAAACAATTGTTAGGCATTAAGAAGCGCGTCCCTAAATTTAATAAGCGAGACAGATCTTGAAATAAATTAGTGGTGGTTGATGTTTCTTACGTTTTCTTTCATTTTAATTTTGTAAAGAACCGGATTACGGTTTTTTAATTTCAAATGATTAAAGTAGTTATTGTATAAATCTGTAAGCAATGCGTTGATCTTTTGTTTTGTAATAATGTACATGTGGAGGTTTGTGTTGCTAATGCAGAAGTTCAACTCTTCATTGGCTTCTTGTTCCAGTTTTGTTTCTAAATATCCTGATCCAATACCTCTTAAGCGTAATTTTGAACCAGTTTGGGAAAAAATTTCCTTCATATTCAAACCTCTGGTACCGATAAGCTTGCAAGTAACATTGAAATCGTCGTCATGAGGAATCTGGATTTCGTATTTAGCGGTGTATTTGTGGTAATACGGCTCATCGTATTTATGTAATATATTATCAGAAGTTGGGGCTCCGCAAGAAAGAATTAGTTCGTCATCAATGTGAAGTGAGCATTCAGTGGTTCGACAATAGTCGATAATAAATTTCAAAGTATCTTTTTGACAATTAAGATGTAAGACGTAAAGATTGGAAACATTGACGGTGTCAATTTTCTTGATGACTCGAATTGCATGTAGGACTCTAGACAATTCATAAATAAAGAAAGAAGAGGAAGTAACTCGAATAATAGCTGTGTGAGACTTATTTTTCGATTTAGATTTGAGGTTGTTCTTGTTGCTTCTAACGGAGGGTATGGGTTTGAAAGACGAGGCAGGATCGTTTGTAGTTTCCTCCTTCTGGTTCAGTGGGTAAGACACGCTTAAAAGTTGAGGCTCATTGGGGCGAGGCATGTGCGTGGACAAGGAAGATTTAAGTTTGACGTCGTCAGTATCAAGTGGCTGGCTCTTGGATAACATTCTTTCATCCGTGGTGAAATAATTCTTGGGTTGCGACTCTGTGTTATGCTTAAGTGTTGAATCCAGCGCGCTCCAAATATCGGTAGCCTTACTGCTTGTTTGAGAATGATAACCCTTTTTGTCAAAAACAGAAAGCGATTTTCGAGCGGATTTCGCATACAGTGATTCTTTGGTCGAAGCAGAAGGATTGTTTTTTTTCTCTTGGTTTTTGGAAAACTTTCGTAGGTCGCAATCAGTTTCGCCGATCAAAAATTTATCATCCATATAACTATTGTAAAAAGAATCAACATTGTTGAAGTGATTAAAGGCATTCTTTTCGCGCTGAAGAACGTTGTAAGAGGAACACCCGTAATTATTGAAGTTATCATTGCTAATGTAAACTGGTGCTGATGGTTTTTTGTACGTATCGATGTTGGCTACGTATTTTTTGTCAAATTCAGAAGATAGTTCATTCTGTGTAGCATCAATAGTGTTAATTGTACAAAAATCAGCGATCGGAAAAACTTTTTTTGTATAATTTTGTTTTTTTTTAATATTTGCTGAGCCTGGTGAATTCTTTGATTCGTTCGAAAGAACGTTTGATTCTAAGTAGTCTGCATATGATATATCAGCCATGGTTTTGGTTTTGGAACAATCCAAAAACTGTTGTGGATCGTCGAATTGAAGGTGGTGATAAGAAGATATTCCTGCGACTGCAGGGTTGATAGTATTGTGATCTGGAAAATAATCAACGTAACTAGCGTACTGGCTTCCTTTGTGCTGGCGCCTGAAATTTGACTGTTCTTTAATCTGGGAAAATAAATTAGAGTCGGTGATTGAATCTGATTTGTAACTAAGATCGTCGCTGGAATAAGATTCAGTAGAGCACAATGTACTGCTGTTACACGGCTCATGTAGAAATTTACTAACTATGGAAGAAATATAATCCATATCTTTATATATTTTATCGACGATAAAATTACCATTTGATTTTTTTTTTTCATTCTGATAAGAGTTATTATTAATAGCTTTTTTGTTGTCATCCTTCGTCGCTTTAGAAAAAGCTGAAGAAGAATAATTTAGCACGTTGTTAACTAAAGAGTAAGCGTATTTAGAAAAACTTGAGTTTGATTCTTCTTGGTTTCGAAAAATTTCAGACAGGGTAGTGCTTATTTGTGACTCCGCTTCGGCTTGATCAATTGCGTTGTCGTCAAAAACAGCCTGACTGATTGAAGTGGAAAGCGATTTATCTTTTAATTTACCGGAATCGCTGGTTTCGTTGACATCGTAGTTATGTTTTGTAGACACGTTGTATTCGCTAGTGTCGATTAATATCTCGTCATTGTTGTTTTTGCCAAAACACATACCGTTCGCTAGATGATTTTTAAGTGCCATAGACAAATCTTTCTGAACTAGTCGCTAAGTAACTGCTAATGTGTTAATAAAATTATACCTAATGCTGGTGTTAATTAAAGTTCTACTTCAGGAAATAAATATAACCTAGACTTTATAATGATTCTTCTATTTATGCTAATCGAACTATACTAATTAATTATTTTGGCTGTAGCCAAGTTGTACTTTGTTATTTTCAAAATGTTTTGTTAAAGATACTTAATATAATTTATGGACGGTAAAATATTTAATTTATTTTTCATATATTTTTTGTTATTTAATTATTATTGTTTATTTAGCGTTATATATTAATTTTAATGTGAACCAACTTAAGATCACACGATACTCCTTGGCAACTGTTTGAATAGTATTTATTCAAAACTTTAAATGTGATTCTTTCGAATTTGCGCTGCTTGACTGGGTAATTTTAATCATTTAATTTGAAACGAGTAAATTATTATATTATGAGTGCTGAAACTTGATTAATTAATGTAAAAGTCCGACTTCATCGAAGCGGAGTTTATATTTTCATCGTTTTGTGCGTATGTTGCATAGTTTTTTTGCTCTGATAAGTTGAAATTCATTGAAGAGCAGTAATTCATAAATTCATTTCCCATGTCATTTTCACAGTATTGGTATATGTCGCGGTATTCAATATGTTTTGAGTTGTTAATATGGTTAGAGTAGCGTCTTTGCGGAGCCTCCATGTCACTAGTTATGGGCTGCAGATTGTTAGTGCTGTATATGGCTGGATCAGTGGTTTTCGAATTATTTGTGTAGTATTCATCGTGCGTATTAGCTAACAAATGCGAATACGGAACATAATAATTGTTGTGAGAATAACAAGGACTGTTTTCTTTAGAAACTTCGATAGAATTTTCTACAGTATTGTTGATTGAATTAGAAGTGGCTGGCGTTGAACTAACGGTTCCATTAGCTGAATTTTTCGAAAGTTCTTGTATTCCGGTGGAATTTTGAATTTGATCTTTACAGTGATCTACTTGTGAAGTTTTTGTAAAGCTGGCGTTTCGGTTGACGGAACTGTTGTTATTAATTATGTAATTACAATTTTTAGAATTAGGATTGTCGTAAACAGGATAGAACCTGTTTTTGTATGTGTCTCGGTACTGGTAATCGTAGTTTAAAACAGAGCTTGCGATATTATCGCTTTCACTTCGACAGTTCTGTAACTGGTTAGAGTACGATAAATTGTAAGTAACGTTTCGACTAGATGGCACATTCATGTCGTAGTTCATTTGATAATAATACTGTGTTTGGTTGGTAGGTTCCTCGTACTTGTAAACGTTTACTCTTTCCCCGTTATCATAACGCATTTTTAAATTTTTCTTAGACAAGTTAGACACTCCTTTTCGAGAATAGTTATAGCTGTTTTGAGGTTTGTTTATTTTTGCAAGATGTTCATCTAGGTACACAAAATGTCGGACTATGCCAGTCATAATCATTTCGTTTCTATGCTTTATAGCCAAACGAAGGCTTTCATCATAGCCGAATTTTTTCGCGCTAAAGCCTTTAGTGCGTGTACTTCTTTTTATTGAAATCGGTTTACGGGTTAATCTATCAATAACAACAGTTTCTTCCGGCCAATTTGCCCGCCACAAATGACGAATACTATCATAATATACACCTCTACAAGCTGATTTAATCGACTGAGCTTTTTCGTTTCCGTTGACTAAAATATTTTCATGTTTTCGCTGTGCAATATTTATACTTTTACTATCGCAATTTATTTGATCTGAAGCTGTATTCATATGACTTAGTGTATTATTCCAATCTGTTGTGAGTTTACTGTACATTTTTATTTATATTCGCCACAGTCCGATCATTGACCATATTATATAAATAATAAATTTAGCTTAGTTCATAAAATAATAAATTGAAGCTCGAGTTTTCTCAATATTCAATCCGGCTTTTGGTACACGTAATAAAAGGTTTGTTTATAAATATTACCTAGATATTTTCATAATGTGTTAGATTAATTTTATTTTGTCATTTGCGTTTTTGTTTCAAAGATTAAATTGATAATCATAAGTTTGAGAAAAAGCGGTTTTAGTCCATTAATTTACATAAAAAGACTTTATGTATCATACAAATAAAATAGCGCTAAGCAAAATAGTTCTGATCACACTTTTTCTTAGACTTAACAACGTTTATTGCTTCTAAAAAATGTTCGTGTACAATTGTTGTTGAGTTAAGTCTGAGTGCTGCCATACCGGCTTCCACGCAACAAGCTCGAATCTGCGCTGCGTTAAAACCTTCAGTGATTCGAGAAAGTTCGACAAATGAAATAGCTTCTTTATTGATCGACATTTTTCGCGAATGAATTTCGAAAATTCTGACGCGAGCGGTTTCATCTGGCAAACTAAACTCGATTTTTCGGTCTAAACGTCCACTACGCATTAGCGCAGGATCTAAAATATCTGGTCTGTTCGTAGCAGCTATAACTTTCACACCGTCATGATTAGAGAAACCGTCCAGTTGATTTAAAAGTTCAAGCATAGTACGTTGAACTTCTCTGTCCCCGAAACAATCACCGTCATGTCTTTTTACTCCGACTGCATCTATTTCATCTATAAAAATTATACTTGGTGCTTTTGCTCGAGCCAGTTTAAACGCGTCTCTGACAATTTTAGCTCCGTCGCCAATATACATTTGGACAAGTTCAGGTCCTGCAAGCTTTAAAAATGTAGCGCTGCTTTGCGCTGCGCAAGCCCTTGCTAGTAAAGTCTTTCCAGTTCCTGGTGGCCCATACATCAGAACGCCGTTAGGAGCTTTGATGCCGAGCTTGTCAAATTTTTCTGCATGTGTCATGGGCAAGACTATTGCTTCTATTAACTCCTGGATCTGCTTTTCCAAGCCTCCAATATCCGAATAAGTTTCGGTGGGCTTCTCGTCTAGTTCCATGACTTTTGCCCGCGAATCGTATTCCGGGGGAAGCTTCGTTAAAATTAAATAAGTATCCTTATTGATACCAACACGATCACTCAGTTGTAAGTCATCCGAAGATATTATTCCTACTGCAGGCAAATACACTGTTTGGCGGAGGGAAGTTTTAACTATGACAGATTTATTGTTAGATCGAGCTAAATTGTTTACGATACCTGCATCGTTGGCGTTATCGTCAGGCATGTCAATGATTTCTGCTACTCTTGAAATCAAGTGAGGCAATTGAGTGTTCATGTTTATTCTTTCTTCATTGTCCTTCATGGTGTTTTCGTCTACGGCTAGCTGTTGGTTTAAATGGGTGAGTTCCTAATAATGAATTAATGTACATAGACATACCTGTGACAGATAAACTATTTCTTGCTTAACCATTGTTAATCTTTTTTGAATGTCTGAGTTAGATAGCTTAAGCACTTCGCAGTCCTCAAGTATCTTTATATCCTCCTCACTAAAGCCATATTCAGACATGTGTTATTTTTAAATCGTTGATAATATTTAAAGTTGTTTAAATCTAATTTTATGCTTTAAAAAGTATATTGCGCCTGCTTTAGAACGTAAATTACTTTTTAATAATTCGATTTAGTTAATCTTCACCTTTACGAGCGGTATACTAATTAACCTTATTTTTAGTTTAATTTTTATTTGTGAATAAATTAAATCAACATTACGGTTATCTAAGCTATTATAAACGCTGAAGCTCGCTGTTAGTATCACATATTATATATTTATACTTTGTTTACGTGTATTAAAAAATGTCATCTACATATTGATCAAGCTATACCTAGTTCATATAGTTATTGATTTGTCGTCATACTTCAATGATAACTGTGCTATTCATTTATAATAAGCCGTACTAAAGCAGTTTGCTAAAATATTTTAAGCGTTAGCATTAATTTATTTAGAATAATAACTAGAATTCGTGTCCGGTAGCGGAGGTGGAGGGGGCTGCATTGGATTTCGATCCGCAATATAAGCGTTGGGTGCATCGTAATAGTTCGGCATTTGTTCATCTATAACGTATGGAGACTCCATTCGCATCATATTTCGCGGCATGGCACGAGCAGGGTGACGATCGTTTTTGTAACTATCACTGTAAGGAGGGTTTACGTCTGGACTGACGTATGGGTTCGAAAACTGGTTGTATGCCTTGTAGCTTCGAGGTTTTTGAGCGTACTGAGGACGCATGATGTTCATGCCTCCTAGCATGTAGTTGCTTGATGGGTGAGTAATGTCTGGAGGTCCGCGATACGGATACGCTGGAGGAATCATTTCTTTTGACACTTTATTGTTCCACTTGTTGAAGCGTGGATCGTACTTAACAGAGAGTCTTGCAACTTCGATTGTTTCCTGGTTGTTACTGTGGAGATGAAAATGGAAAAGATCATTTACGTGTGGTAAAAAAGTAAAATCCCATTGAGATATACAAGCCGGGATTTTTAAAAAATTACAATATTCAAAATTAGCTTGTTTAGCTTTAAAGGGCTTATTAGAGAAAACATACAAAGTCAATTCGTTTAAAAAATTGGGTATTTTATCATATGTTTTACCAAATATCATGGGTTTCCATTCTTCGAAAATGTCTGAGTCGTTTATGCTCAGGTCTATATCTTTCTTCTCTCCACGTGTAATCTTGCAAAAAGGAGCGAGCTTTGCAACTTGAACTATGGGAATCTGCTCGAGTTCGTTTTCGTTGTCTGAACCTGATTTGTCGATTGGTGGTTTTATTACTGTTTTCTTCGCTGCGACTCGCTCTTGATTGGTCCACAAAAAATATATGTAAGAAGACGGATTTAATATCGAAAGACTGGATTTTATTACCGAAAACCAAAACAAGTGGATGCGGAGCTGGAATAATTCATCTGTTGTCTTAATAAACTCCGGACATCCTGTGTAGGCGACGCCCGGCAAAACGAAAAAGATGATGTCATAAGGCGGACCCATTGACGAATCGTTAAAAGTGGACTTAGATTCAAAAAAATGCCGCGCTAACGCCGGGTTAAATCCGTAGTGCACAGTTAAACCGTGGTTTTGCAGTGTGTTCGACGTTTCTTTTTGTTCTTCAGTTAACTTGAGGTAAGGTAAGCCACATGCGATTTCGACTGCAAGCTCGTCTTTTACGTTGAGTTTTTCTTTCCAAAAGTCTATTTTTTCTAAAAACGCTTTGGAAAAAGTGAAATTTTCATCGCCTATTAACAGAAGTTTCTAAAACAGCCGTGTCGAGTCTTGCAACTACTTACCATGTTGTTTTCAATACTTCATTGAAGTTTTAATAATTGATAATGTTTTAAATTCTTACATTAAATCTGTGCGAATAACAATTCTCACGTTGAAAAAATTATTTGCCTGTTAAATTTGTTTTGCCGCAATTCAGAAAATTCCGTCGTTTATGTTGAATTTTACAAAGAAAGGTTTATCGATAGATTAATATTATTAATCCTTTCGAATCCAATATCTTTTTATGTAAATTAATTATTTATTACTATATACGATTATAATGTACAAATTTTACAGTAGACATTAAATAATCCGTTTATGTGTCAGAACAGTTGTAAATTTTTACACTATGCAGATGGAAGAGTTGAATTAAAGGAAACGAATTGAATTTGTGCAAGGAGTAAAGCGGATTGAATTAGTAGACGGAGACTTCGGATTCTGGCTCAGATTTTTTTTGTGCTGTGGAGGTAGTGCGGTTGTAATAGCTGGATATGGTAGAAATTCCGCGTTTTGTTATGTTTTCGGTGATTTTCTCTAAGTTTTGGTAAGAGTTAATTTGACATTTTGCCTGGTCTTCATGGCCGAGAGTTTTTGCGAACTTGAGAAAGATGTCTTGGAGTTTGTTTATGATCGTAGCTCCGGTGGAGGTACCAGTCTGAATCAAACTAGATACGGGCTTAAAATTGTCTGGGGTCGATTCAAACGCTGCGTTAGTGACGCCGAGGAAAATATATTTCAAGACAAAAACATAACAGATACAGCGGATGAAATACGAAGGAAGATTTTTCGAAAAGTTCGAGTACTGAGATGAAACTAAAGACTGACGCTTTTCAAACTCGTCGTAGATGTTCTTTAAAGTAGTTCTGAAAAATGGTTGGTGCTGTGGTACTTACTTGTATAAAGTGCTCATATTCCGTTTGTCTTAGTTTTAATTATAATTTTATTTGGGAATAAAAAAACAAAAATTTTTAATTAATTTACATATTTTGGAAAAAGCAGCAATAAAGTTGTGAAGCAGTTGCGTGTATAATTAACGAGTTTTTAAATTATAGAAAAATTTGTTGTAAGCCAATGTTTATTGGAGATTTTTTTTACAATTTTGCCATTTATATCTTTATTTCGCTGAGGAAATTCTCAGTTTGGGTTGTAACTTTATTTAGGCAGAGAGCTACAGCTCGGCTTACTAAAACTCAGAAAAAAGCAGTTAAAAAAGAGGCTCGACGTCTAAAAAAGAAAAGCGCAGAAAAAAATGCGAAAACGACTAAAAAAATGTCAAACAGGCAAGTACTGGAATTTTTTAAGCAACTATTGAGCGCCGAAAAAAATTTGAACATGATCAGCTAATGATCGCCGTTCATAACATCGAGTGTAAAAATCTGCGTAAACGCTTGATTGAAGTCAGAGAAAAGCATGAGTTCGTTTGCATTATTGATAACTCGTTTAGTTTGTCTTCCCCTAAACAAGATCAGCAATCTCTCGCAAAACAAATTCAGTTGATTTCAATTGAAATAGTCAAAAACATAAACCATAAAACGTCACTAATCTTGGCATCAGTTCCTATGCCATCGAATCTATACATTATTTTTCAACAAATGGGATTCGCCAAACATAATTTTGTCATCACTGATGAGACGTTAAAAACTACCATACTTAAATTGCAAATTGATAAAGAGATTTATCTTTCTCCGGACGCAAAAAAATATCTGACCGATAGTGAAATAAAGTCGCAAGAGCTTGTTGTTGTCTTAGGCGGGTTGGTTGACACTCAAGTAAGAAAAAATGCCACGTTGAATAAAGCTAACACTATAAATGTAGAAACCAGAAAACTTCCTCTCCAACAGCTTAAAAATGTATCAAACCCAATCTTAAACATTGATGTCGTTTACAAAATTATAGCGTCGGTTCGGTTCGATAATAAAAGCCTATATAAAGCTATGACACTTCACATCCCAGTTAGAAAACTTAAGGCAGCTAAAACTGCGACAAATAACCAATAAACAGCTAGTATTAAAGTAAAAATCGCAGAGTAAGCTTGAATACACTTCATTGGCCCCGATTTTAAAATGTTTAAATAAGAGTATAATTTTAGTTTGATGGACTTAGTTTTTTGATCATTCCTGCATCCACAAATGTTGGTTTTTTTGGCAAAAAGTTGAGATTAAGCTTGCTACTTGTTTTGGTGCTGAGAGGTGGACTTTGCATAAACTTGTCAACATTCGGATTGTTCGTACCTGTTAATGGTACGTCATTAAACTTTAGATTTTTGTCAATGCTCTTTTCTACCGTTTGAATGTTTATATTGTCCGAAATTTTTTGTCTTCCTGAAAATTCAGTGGAAATTTCTTTGCGCATCGAATTGTATTTATCTGATTCGTTGGAAAAGTACAATGTGGATGAATGGTTGTTTATCTTTTCTTGTAAAATATTTTCGTCTTTATGACTCGAAAAGTTAAGCAAAGGCGTTGTATCTGCCTGAGACCCATTTACGCCGGTCACTTCAAAAGTGAGATCGTTGAATTGAACTAGCCGTAATTCTTCTATAGGTATAAATTCAGGGGGCGTTATCTCTTCTAGAATTTTTATACCTGCTATGGAAAGCATTTTTATCAATAAATCCTTGTCTTTGTTCGATTCAAAGTCAATCGTAACAGGTCTTTTGTTTTTATCCGAACTTTTATCGTTTTCAAACAGGGTCAACGCTTTATCGGTTATGTTGGCAACACTATTGTTAGTAGCAAACACCGTTTCGGTGTCTTCTTTTATTACAGAAAACTCAGTGTGGTATTTTGCTACGTATTTTGTCGCCGATTGGTAGTTAGCTTTGGCAATGTGTGTTAGATTTATATTTGTAAAATTTTTAATCAAAGTTCTTGCTGATTTTCCAAGCTTAATAAAAACATACTCAAGCAGTTCATTACAGCTAATAATTTTACACAAAGAAATGGCTCCTGTTGAAGCAAACGTATTATAGTAGTCAAACGAAGAAAATATATATGTTTTGAGAAACAACTTCTTAGCGGATTCGAACAAAATAATACTCTCATCATTGTAAATGTAAGAATATGATTCTGCGAACAAATTTGACATATCTTTCTTAAATGTTGCATTAATCTTGTCGCTGGAAGTGCTAGATTCTAGAACGTTTTTGATTGGCATCGCTTGTTCCCCCGATATATTGCTAGGGGAACTTAGATCAGCACTTGCTTCTTTTTCAATTATTAATGCGTTGGCATCCTCAGGTTTTTTTGTGTCACTGTGGTCACCGTGTAAAAAATTAATTGTCGTAATTGGTTTGTTTATATCATCAATGTTATGTTTTATCCTATTCTCTTGTAAAACTGTTTTGTTAGAAAGATTAAGAGAATCACTCCTTATTGGATAATGCGGGAGATGCTTCATAACGGCTTTTTGTCCATAAGAAACATTATTTAATAACTTTTGGCTTTCATATTCCACGCTGTTTTGGTTTAGTATGCGCCATTCCGCATAGTATAAAGCTGAAATAAATTTATAAAAAATACCTGCCTTTTCAAAAGAAAGTGCTATCGTGTTAGCACTGCACAACCTGTTTTGGATGTTCAAAATTCGGAAAACTGAAACAAGCTCAAAAGCTGTTTCGTCCGAAACTATGAACGAAATAAGCTTATCATTCTCATTAACTATCACTTGTGAAGTTAGCTTGCTGAGATATATGAACTTGCAAGTAATTTGACCTGGAATACAAATTGACAGTTCTTTAAATTCATGTTTCATGAATAAGTAAATATTCATTTTAATTTTTTTCATTGAGGGATCGTGCAAAATAATGTTACAATTCACTTCTTCGAAGTCATTGAATCCATAGATCTGAGTAATGAAACCAAAAAAAGTTAGCTGCAAAAACACGAAATCAAACTCCAATCCCGATTCAAATTCAAGTACATGAATATTTTTGTTTGCTGCCGAGGTTAATGTTGAATAAAAGTACATTCTCAAATTGTTACGTTCAGGATAAAAAAAAAAATTGTCCTTTATAAAGTTAAGTTCAGTGGACAAATCTTCGGCGGAAAGAATTCGAATGTACTCAGAAATAACTTTGATCGCTTTAATACCAGCTTTTTTTACATTATTTGTATTCATATCGCGTTTATTCTTGATAAAAAAAATATAGTCAGCAAATGATGCCAGCTGGTTGATAAATGATTCAATGTCTATGAATAAATATTTAACGCGAACAATGGCGTTTCGAATGTTTGCCTCGTTAATGTTTTTCATGTTAAACAGTTGATTATTTATAATTTCCAATTTTTTATCTATCATTTGCTTTAGTTCATTGTTTAAAATATACTGAGTTTGTTTGAAATTCATTTGAAATTTAATGCTAAAGTTTTCTCTTTCCATTTCGTGTGATTTAAGTAATAATTCATATTGTTGTCGAGCGTTATTGTTTTCGTTATTTGTTGCTTCGGCGTTTTTGTTGGATTGGTAATTCATGATAGCAGTTTTGTCATCTAGTTCGTTGGAAAGGTAGTTTTGTTTCTTTTGCTTGTCAATCGCATTTTGGTAAGAAAAATTTTTTCTGTTGTAAAGACTATTGTTTAAACTAGAAGTTGAATTTAGCTCTAGCTTGTCAATCAATATCGTTGGAGGAATAATGTGCTTTTCATGTTCCAAATGAGCTATGATTTTTTGAAAAGATTCTAGCTGACTTTTCTGATACTTAATTATAGACCTGCTTTGTTAAAGCTCTGTTTCAATGTCTGAAAAGCATTCGAATTGAATTTGATTGGTTGTACATTTATCTTTGTATGATTCAAGTAAATTTTCATAATTTTGTATTTCGTGCTTTAGAAATCGTAATTTGTATATGTCGTCTTTGTATTCGTTGATAAGTTGATAAGTTTCGTTTATTTCAGGATTTTCCTTATTGACATTTATATTATTTAAAGTATCGTTCAGTTGATTAATTTCGTTTTTTAAAATGTCTTTTTGATGTTCTAACTCTCTGTTAGTTTCGGTCAAAACCTTGATTTTCTGGTTGAAACGACCAATAGTTTTTTTATTTTTAATTTCTGACTGTTGTAAGACAGTAATTTCAGAATTCAATATTTCTTGCTGAATCTTTAACTTAATATTCTCATCTTTCAAGTTTTGGATCGTTTGTTGAAATTTCTTGTTTTCAGATTTTAAATCTTCTTGCAACTTTTTATATTCGTCTTGCAGTTCTTCGATGTGGTTTCTTTGTTCTTGTATAAGAAGTTCTGATTTGACCAAGAGTTCATTTTCGAAAGGTTCGAAGCCTTCATACTTATGTCTTGAAAAGTTTATCTCTTCCATATCGGTTTTATTGAAAATCCATACCGAGATTTACAATTCATAATTTGCTTGACGTGAATACGCAGTAAAACGAAATAATAATTATCGCTTTATATAGCTAATAAAATGCTTATATAATTCAATCAGTTAAAAGTACTTTTTATATTCATTTTTTATAGTGTGAAACAAGCTAAACTTGCTTTATATAAACTTATATTATCACTGTTTGTGTGTTTTAAAAGAAATTTTTTTCGGAACTAAAAAGTACTGCGCCAAATAAATAATTTTCGTATTAATGAGTATGAGATATAATTTATAAATTGTAATTTTACTTCGAGATCCGAACGATTAGTAATTTGTATTTTATGAGACAGTAAAAAAAAATGGAATCGATTCTAGATAGCAATGGTAACGTAAAAACAAAGTTTTTGTAAGTTCGTAAACAAAACACTTTTTAGAATACAAGAAATATTTTACACGCATCATGAAGCACAAAAAGTGATCGAAGATTATCCACAAGAAACAAAAACGTATATTAATATAATAAATGCTGCAAATTACTTATTGAACATGTTTGAAGCTTATAAAAAAGATATAGAAAATTCAATTAACAGCGACATATTACACATCATCTCTCACGAAAAAAAAAAAATTATTGAACTTTATCACGCAGAGCTAAACGATCCTTTAGACCATACTTTACCTTGGCCCCCCACTGGTGGCAAAGTTCTACAATGGTGGAAGCAAATATTAACTACTGAAGCGTTGCGGTTTAATTTCAACGTGGAACTAGCTGAGTTGGATTTGATATCAAAACTTGCAAAACATATTAGAAGAAGCAAAAGTTATGATATAGATTATTCAAAAATGAATCAAGGCACTGATCTATTTTATCCACTGCCTCTTGGAAGAAAAAATGATATTGCTGCATTTGTATACAGTTCAGTTGTAGGAAAACGTATAATTCAATTTAATCTTGAAAGTGTACAAGGCACGCTTATCAATAATTTTAAAATGATATCTTACAGTCGTTTAAATCAAAAACAACTTTACGATGAATATTATGAGGAAATATCTAGTTTTTTTCATGAAAAAATTGACCTTTGTGATAATGAGGAGTTGGATAAAATCGAAGAAAAAATAAAACAAAACAAATTGTTGCCATGGTATGTGCCAAATTATCCAGAACCTTATGATAAATGCGAATTTGGCTTAAATGACTTGAATAGTTTTTTTCACAACAGTTTAATTAATGTCGAGCTTGATAATTGCGATACTATTTTAAAGAAATTCATAGATTGGTGTAAACTCCTTTTTAAATTTACCCCTAGTTAACTAAGCAAGTTTGTGTATTCTTCTGACTTCGATGTGGCTTTATAAGTTTTTTTTTCAAACCATTCATAGGTCTTAGCCTTGCATTGATACAAGGAATTTGTAACCATCCACATGCAGCCCTCCTTATTGAGCAAAGCAAACGTGTTTAAAATCTTAGATACAGACTTTTTTGTCATGATATTCACGTTAATAGAAAGAAATCTGCATAATTTTAGTTTTCTCGTGTGTGTTTAGCTATAAATCAAGGTCGAGGAAAACTAAAAATACTAATTCTTATTTAAGTAATTTAACAAATCTTTCAACGCCAGTTTGTACAAGTAAATAAAGAATTTATTGTATTAGTCGTTTTTATTCGATGGCATTTTTGTTTGGTATTTTTAGTTGGAAGAAAACGCAAACGCGTTTAAACAAAAATTGGCTTTTTGCAAAAAGCTTGTTTTTGTCGTTTATATTCACCTACTTCATCATATTACCTCCAGATTAAGAGTACATGAAACGTAAACCCAATTTTATTCCACTACAAATTACTTTTTTAATTACATTGCTACCAAGATTACGGTTCTTCTTAGAATTTAAATTGATTTCGGGTTTAAACCCTGTGAGCGAACCAATCAATAAATTGATCCCAAACACATTCAATAAAAATCGTTTGGCGTCTTTACAAAACAATATTTTTAAAGGTCTTGATGCTTATTGTAAAAATCATGAATGCACTACATTAGCAAACTTTGAACAGAAGATGGGAAAAAATAATCACAAATTTTTTGATTCAACTGTAGTCGGTAAATTTGAACAAACATCTAAAAATTTATGGAAGAATTTGCGAAATGAAGCATTAAAACCATTAGAAGAAAGAAAAAAAAATTTACTAGCTGCTGAAACAAAAAAAATAATTGAACATAGCGATAAAACAAAAAAAGAATCATCGGAGCAAGCTACAAAATATAAATATGAATGGAGATCTATTGAGCTGATTGAGCCAAATGTGGACTTACGTCTCAACAAGTTTATTGATTATACCACAAATCGAGATAACCTGATATGTTCGATATTTAAGAATAGATTCTGGTTTTGCAAACAGAACGAAGCTATTAAAAATCATAATTTGTCTTTATACGATGGGGAAATCGAAAACCAAGCTGGTATAATAAATACAGCACGAGTATTAAAAAAATCTAACAATTTAATTTCGGACACGACTGAGTTATCGGCAATAATTATTTCTGGCGTAAGTGATTCATGCAAGCTACAACTTGCTTGCGATATTCATCAAAACATTATTCCTCATGATTTTGATGGAATTTATTTATCTGAAAAAGATGGAAGATATAAGAAATTTGGTAAAATAAATATGATTCTAGAACGCAACATTATTTTAAAGTTTCGTAGTCGCAAAGGTTTGATTCAAAAAAATTTTGAAACTGTAGCCATTGACACAGCAATTTATCCCGAAGCGTGTGAAACTTTAGAACTATGCAGAACTAAAAAATATCCTTATATTTTCTTCGAATTCAATTCAAAATACTCTCTGAGCGATATTAATGACTTTGGAAAACCATATGCTGGTTGGAAATATGCAGTTCATTCATCAAACCCAAACGATTGCGTGGGACCTTATAATTTCGACAAGTACTCCTGCGAAACACCGGTTGTGCTCATCGCAGATCAGTTATAAACAAATTTAATTAGTCGCTGTTTAATATTACAGTCCAAAATTTTTATCAAAAATATTAAATTAATTCATTTATTAATAACGCAAATAAAATGATCAGAATTCTAATATTATGAGCAATCAAACAATCAAGTACATAGATTCAATTATAGCTCATGAAATAGATGATTATTTGATTTCGCCCGACGAAGTTAATTATGATCTTATTCAGGTACGTCCCGAAAATTTGATTTTTTAGTTAGTTGAATCGGCAGGGTTTCAATCGTCTGTTTGTATCTGTGATTATATAAAAGATAAAACTAAGAAAATAATAGTTTTAGTAGGTGGAGGCAGCAACGGAGCAGACGGTTTAGTGATTGCAAGATATTTATCTAACAATGGTTATTTAGTAATGATGTACTGTCCGCAGTTGAATCGATCCGAAATTCAGATGACGCTTCATCACCAAGCCATATCAGTCGGCGTAATCGAGGTGAAGTCAGTTGAAGAGGTCATTGACGACTGCGATGCAGTGATTGATTGTATAGTTGGTTTTAACATGATTGGAAACCAATTAAAAGAGCCATGGCACTCTATAATAAATATGATTAGAATTAAAAAGCTAACCCTGATCAGCATTGATATACCTTCCGGATACGAAGTTAATGTTGAGCACGAAGCTAGCGTTATCAATGCCAGTTGTGACGTGATAATATCTTTGATCGCTCCGAAGATTTGCACAAAAAACTTTACTAAAACTCATTATTTAACTGGACGCTTTGTTCCAAACTTCATGTTAAACTATAATGGTTGGGATATATCAGACTGGCCTGAAAACCAAGTATTCAAAGTGTTATAATTCTATAAGTTTAATTTTTTTTTACTCTCTTCGATGAAGAGCGCAATTTTTTTCTTTAATTCAGGACGCGCTTGCAGGTCCGTTTTTTTCAGCGGTTTTCGGTTAAAAGGGTCAAATTTTTCCGTTATCAGGTGTCTCTCAATGATGTGGCGATCCATGATTAAGTTTGAAGTGGGCAGGTAAACAGGATCTGAAATCAGCGTTTGCATTAGAGGATCGACGTACTCTTCAGGCACGTCCATTTCGTCCATGATGATTTCCGCGATGTCTCTAGTGTTTGAATTTTTGACTAGGTCGTCGTGTATTTCTTGAATTGTAGAAATTTGATCGTCTAAGCACATATTTTCTCTTTTCGCAATTCGAATAGCTTTAGATAGTAGTGAAGTAGAAAAAAAGCGCGTTTCGGCTTTGAGTTTGAGCAAAAACTGTTCTTGATATTCTTTACTGGATCTGTAAAGAGAACAATAAATTGAAATAATGTTTTGTAACAGCTGTCTAGGCTTGAAGTAGTATTTTTCGAAGTTGCTGACTTTCAGTGCGAGCGACTTAGGCCCTATAAGACTGCAAAGGCAACTGTTAAGACAAAGTAAAACTTGCGGAAGCAGAACGCTGTTTTTTAAAATGTATTCGTAAATGAAGATTGAAAACTTGGTAAAAACCAGCAAGGTTAAGTTTGTCAAATGCATCATTTGCGTGCAGCGTTCGGAAATAACACTTAATTCTTCGGTTTCGGTTAAACCTACTTCGCGGTCTTGGTTCGCTTCGGATTGCAACTCGTTGGAGCTGATGTTGTTTAAATCAGAGCTTAAGTCGGCGTTTAGCTCGATGTTGGCCACGGCGTTTGTACCAACAGTTTCCGACTCTTTTTTTTCTCGAATTTTGATTTCTGTAAGGAGAGAAATTCCTTCATCAAGCGACCAAGATAAAAACTCAGTGTAGAACAAAATGAATTGCTCAAATTTTTCGGGATACATTTTAATTATGTTTAAAAAGCAGTCATCTACTTCTTTACAATCTGATTCAATGAATATGTCCAGCAGGAAAAGCAACGAGACGCGCAAGTCGATCTTGGCAAACTTCTCGAACTCTTGGCTGTTGACAAACGTGATGACTATTGCTTCGATAACAACGCTTTTTTGCCAACTTACAAGACTAATGTTTGAAAAGCGGCGATCTGTGTAAATGAATTTTTCGAGCATTTGAGTGCCGAGCGCAAGCCTGCAGGAGGAGTTGCGGCTTACATTGATATTTATCGACATGAAAAACATGTTGATTTGGAAAAAAAGATCCTCGTATGAAAGAATAGCGAAATTGTTGCAGCGTTTTCCCAGCACAGCTTGATACTTCGCTGACTCGTTTATCAAAACGCAGTCAGTGTATATGGAAGAACATTCGCACAAGTACTCGATTGGATAATTCAGCAGTAGTTTCAAATTGCTCTTTTCAATTGTCATGAAAAACCGCAGAACGTCTATGTTGATGACTGTTGGTGATTTTGCGGTTTTGTTAAACCGCATGTAGGTTTGTAAAACTTCATTCTCAATGTAATTGAAATTTATCAGTAGAAAGTTCTGCATCAGCGGGAGGAATTGGGTGTTGTTGAGGAGATAGGTGAACACGAATATCTCATAGAACAAACTGTTTTTTTTTTCTTTCGTGATCTCTTCATCGATTGACTCGGGATTTTTGAGAATGAAATGAATGGTAATGTACCGTTTATAGAACGGAAAAAGCAGAAGATGCATTAAAATGAAAGTAATAGCGAAAATGGTCGTTGTGAATTTGAATTTTTTGATTGAGTTTCTCATCGGGGCGGCTTCATCATAGCTGAAAGAAGTAGCGTTGGCGAGCACTGACAGGAGGCAGTCAGTAACAACCCAGTCCTTGAATTTTTGGTGGTTGTATTTGGCGAACAGCTCGGAAAACTCAATTTTCTGAAAATTTTTGGGTGTGATGGGGCTGACGAGCGTCAGGCACACATAGGCAATATTGAACTGCACGGCTGGAAAAAAAATTTTGTTCTGCAGACAGTACAAAGTTTGGCTGAATGCAGAGTTGATTACGATTTTCTTCAAGCTGTGCATGTGGCTGATTTTGTTTGTGTTCTTCGAAAAAGCGATTAGGTCTGTTAGCCACTGCAGAATGAAATCTTGGATTTCGTCTGTGTCCTTGAGTAGAAGTTTAAGAAGTTTTGCCACGGTGTTTAGATAGGTGGTATACGAATCCACCACAAGCTCAAAGTTGGTTTGATCTCTAAAATTTGACTTCGACTCGTCGAGCGCTTGCTCGACTATCTCAAAACACGTTTTCTGCTTCTGGTATGTCTCGTTGGGAAGAAAGTTTTTGGCCGTTTGAATACTTATGTTGTCAATTAACGAGGGAATAAACAGCTGCGCGATAAGTTTATTTTGGAATTGCCAGTGAAAGTTTTTGCGGATACTGAATCGCATTCCTAAGTCGCTCAGCATAAAAATGGTTCGGCTAGAGTGGGTTGACAAAACTTGAATCAGAAAGTTGACTGTTTGGGTGAGTTTTCCAAAGTAAAGCTCAAGTTTTGTTTCCGGCGCAACGGTTAGCTGTTTGCTGACAATAGCCAAGAACTGCACGACGATGTCGAAAATAATTTCACTGTAGTCGTCGATCAAATAGTAAGTGTCCAGTAACATAACAAACAAACTTTTGAACGCTTGGTTGTTCATTTCGTAAATGCTATAAAGAATGCTTGACAAGTCACCGTTTCGTAAAATATACCTGCTGAGCAAGTAGTTGATTATCCCTAAAACAATGTCATTCACAAAGTTGTTTTGGAAATAGCGCTGCTCTGGCGCAGACAAGTACTTGGAGCGCACTTTGATAACGATGTTAGAGATCATGTTTGAATAGAAACTGTTTTTCAGCAGCTGGCAAATTCCTTCGACAAAAAACTCTTTGTTCCTTGCTAACATCGCGAGCTTTTGCTCCGTAAGTTTTGCAACATTTATCTCTCGGTTTAGTTCTTCGTATTTATGCGTTTCTTTAAAAATTTTGAATGAAAACCTCCAAACCAGTGGGTTATAATTGTACAAATTTGACTCATCGTAAATTCTTTTTTTAGCATCAAATTCATCTATGCTCACGCACAATTGTTTATCCGCTTCAGATGTTCCTTTATAGCTCAGATCCCATTGAATTCCAAAAACTTCTTCGATTATTCGTAGTTTATAATCCATTACGATTATTTGGCGAAATAATTATAAATTTTTTATTATTTAAACAAAGAATATAACTGTCGAAAGCTAACAAAGCACAACATAGTTTCATAACAAACTTACTATAGCAGAAATAAACTTTGACTGACGATCAAACTGGTATTAATTTAAATTATGTAAAGATAAAAAACCTGTTTATTTAACATTAATAAGTTTTGTTGTTTAAACGTGAAAAAATATTGTCCACTTCCAGGTTAGACAGTGGATTATCGAAATTTGCGTCGTTGGTTCTATTCGTTACGTCGACATTTTCATTTTTCTTTTTCTTCGTAGACGCGGTGCCAGACTCGTTTCGCTTGCGTTTATTGGGGCGTGAGAGTTTATGAACATTTGACGATTGCTGGGCAAGATCAAGTTCTTCAAACAAGTCTTGCAGGTGCTTTTCAAATATTTGTATGGCTTGTTCCAGATCACGTAGATCTGACTGCCAAAGCTGTTTGGTACTTGTGTTCTTGAGAGTGTTGAGTTTGTTCGAAAGTTCTTCTGTTTCTTTGGACAGCTTAAGATAATTTTCTTCAGTCAAACTGTATATAGGCATCGAAAGCAAATAGTTATAATCTTTGCTGGTGTATTTGTTTTCTACAGCTTCTTCAGACTCGCTGTCATCGCTTGAAGATTTTTGATTTTTGTTGTTAATTTTGAATCGAGCTTCGATTTCACCTGCGGTATCGAACTTGAGCGACAGAAGCTCTCGCTCAAGCTGAGCTCGCGGTTTGCGCGACACAATTAGTTTTCCTTCTATGATCAAACTGATAAAACGTAACTTGTTTGCTGTGTACTCAAGTTTGTTGGTGTAATGCTGTATCATGTATTGTTTTCTCAGTTCGTAGTACTTAAGCCGAACCACACAGAACTCTCTTATTATGTCAAGCTCAGTTTCATATTTTCTAACGTGGCCTTTGACGTCAAACGCGGTCAGGTTAGTTAAACTGATAGACTTTTTCAATTTAAACGCTTTTTCCAAACCTATTGAGTAGATTGTTTCGACAGAAGCAGGGTCAACCTCTATTGTAAACGAAATTTTTTCGTGGGTTGAGTTGTCTCGGTAATCGTTAATTAAAAACGCTGGAGCTTTAGTATTGGTTGAAGAAGTCTTAACTTTTGGTTTGTCCGTAGCTTTGGATTTGCTGGCAACAGACTTGCCTTTCGCTTGAGTAACGTTTGCCGTTAGCATGTCTTCAATAAACTCTTTGTATGGTTGGGTCCAAACTTTGACCGGAAGTTCGCTGATATGGAAAACATTTTCATCGGTTTCGGCTATCAACCCCACTGAGTCAAAGCCGCTTTTATCATTCCGCTCCATTCTTCCTATAAATCCACGATACCAGGGAACCATTTCTTTCAGAGGTTTCTCGTCCAAAAATGCATTTATATTTGCGATGATGTCTTTCGGATTGAAGTTAGGGATAGTAGAGCTCCAACCCGTTCCTATACCTTCTGACCCATTCACCAAAATGTTTGGAATCACTGGTACGTAAAATTTAGGCTCGATTGAAACACCTTCGTCTACACAGTATTCTAGTATAGGAAAGTCTTCTGATCTAAACAAGTAAGTACACACTTCCGTCAGCTTAGTGTAAATATAACGTGTTGCTGAAGAATCTTTTCCTCCTTCTTTTCTACTACCGAATTGACCACAAGGTTCAAGCAGATTTAAGTTGTTCGAACCTACGAATTGCTGAGCCATGTTGACAATAGTCTGTGCGATAGAGTCTTCTCCATGGTGATAACTACTAACTTCAGCAACATAAGATGCAAATTGGGCAACTTTCATTTCGTTTCTCGTTAAATTTTTCTTAAAAGCACCAAAAAGAACTTTTCGTTGAGCTGGTTTTAATCCATCAATAACATTTGGGATTGATCTTTCTAAATCATATCGGCTAAATAGAACGAGTTCCTTGTTTATAAAATCTTTGTATCGAATGCGTTTAATCTCATGGTTTAAGAAAGTTCCTTCTTCGAAACTTTGAATCCATTTTCTTCGATCTTCTGCTCGTTTGCTGTTGAAAGCCATATCAATACTTTCAAAATCTTCTGGATCTTCGTAAACAAATTCCAGCTGATGATCTTGTATTTTGCTGAAATAATCCTGGAATTCTTTAGTTGTTGACGTACCCAGCCCTTTATAGTATTTAAATTTATAACGAGCTAGAACTTCTGGGGTTAACGAAACTCTCCAGTCTTCAAATTGCTGAAGCGTAAAAAAAGAAATCGTATTATTTCTTGTTGTGACTTTAATAATGGGCGTAACAAATTCTTTTAAAAATCCGTTATATTTCAACAAATTGGGCCAAAAGTGTTGCAGAAGATTAATGATAAGTCCTTTTATATGACTCCCATCATGATCTTGATCAGTCATAATCATAATACTACCATAACGAAGCGAAGACGGGTTTGTAATGGACGAACCTATTTCAAGTCCCATAATTTTTAAAATATTCTGAATTTCTTTGTTTTCGGCTAGTTGTTTAAAAGAAGCATCACGTACATTAAGTAATTTTCCGCGTAATGGAAATACTCCATACTTATCTCTGCCTACAACAGATAAACCTGCAATGCAACTGGTTTTTGCAGAATCTCCTTCCGTTAGTATTAATGTACATTCGGCGCTCAACTTAGAACCAGCATCATTTGCATCATCCAATTTTGGTATACCAAGTATTGTGTCTTTTCGAGAAGTTCGATTTCCCGTTTTCATTAATTTTTTAAGTTCAACTTGTTCTTTGGTTATAGCCCAGAGCTTAATAGTTTCTAATATTGACGATTTTAATACCGATAAAATATACTTCTCAGATAAAAACACAGATCCAGACAAATAGCTCATGTTTAAAGTCATATACTCTTTGGTTTGGCTGTCAAAAGTAGGATTTACTATTCTACAATTCAAAAATAAAAATATATGATTTTTAATATGATGGGACTTAAGTTTAAGACCTTTCTTGTTTTTTGAATTAATCTTGTTTAATAGTGACTGTATCAGAGGTTCTAAAATAAAGTTGACATGAGTTCCACCCTTGCTTGTACTGATATTGTTTACAAAACTGACTTGCTGAAACTGACCTTCACTTAAAGTAATTTCGACTTCCCAGTATGGGTTTATTCTTTCATAAAGTCTAAACGGCATATCATCTTTGTTTTCTTGAGAAAGATTTACAGATGAAGACTCTGAATCGTGTCGTAATTCACCACTCGGATCGTCAGATTTAGTATTAGATTTATTTTTGGAACCTGAGTATTTCTGAAAATATAATTCAACATACTCATTAAACGAATTTATATTAATCTTGGAACCATTTAAATATACATCCAAATCCAGAGTTCCAGCAAGATCGTAAACTCTTTTTTTCAACAGACTCAAAATGTCACCGTTGAACTTTTCTGGCATGTTAAGCTTTTTAAAATCAGGGTGAAATTTTACCGTGACAGAATCGGTTGGTTCAAGACAAGGAGTAATAATCGAATCATCTTTTTTTGTCATGTTGTTTCGCCATTTACAATAAAACTTGCTTTTGCGTTTTGAATCTACAATAGTAACTTCGAACATGGTTGAAAATATATTAGCTAACTTGGCGCCGTACCCATTTCTACCTCCTGTATAGCGATCTTGACTGTCATTATAATTATCAGATGTCAGTAACTGACCGAAAATAAGTTCCGGAACGTAAATACTGTAATCTTGGTGAATTTCCACCGGTATGGCAGCACCATTATTATATACTTCGATGTAGTTTTTCTCAGTATTGATTGTTACGCTTATTTTAGTAATTCTATTAATTCTAGATTTAGTGGTTTTAACCTTATCAAATTTTTCTCGTGCGTACACATCAGCTGCGTTCACAATTATTTCGTCAAATATTTTGAACATACCCGGAACGTAAGTAATGGTTTTATTTACAATGCCTCTTACCGTGTCATCCCATACCCAGGAAGATAGTGATTCTTGGTTTACAGACCCAATGTAAGAATCTGGTCTTGTCAAAACGTGCTCTAACTGGGTTAGTTTCGTGTATCGTTTTTCAATGCTTTCCTCCATAATAGTAATCTTTTTTTTTCTATTGACGTCAATAATGTAACTTTTAAATTTCTAGCATATTATTGTTTCAAATAAGAAACATCTCAAAGCCAAATTATAAGCGTTGAGTTTATTCAATAATTTCAATGTTACAAATTAATATATTATTTTTTCAACATTAGCATTAAAATTACTTTGGATAATAAAAACAAACTATTATTAAAAGAAACGCTGCTCAAACGACATGCCAACACTAATATAAAAGAAATATATAAAAAAGAGTTTTTCATTTTTATTGAATCATAATACTAATAATATTTTTTTTTTTTTGCATTGATCAAGTAAAAGTTTCAAATCGCCAATTAGATTAAACTTAGAGTAAGATCAGTTCTTTTATTTAGATACTATATATTTCCCATAAGTTAAAAATAATAATGAATAAACTAGTTAGTCAATAAAACGTTGGAGTTGATTGAAATAAAAGATGAACTTTATATGAATCGATTTATTAGTAATAATGAAAAGAAAAACATGTACAAGCTATGTGACTCTGCTACGTCGATAAATCGTAAAAGAATCTTTAAAACATCGGAATTGTTTGTAAATCCTGAAAAATTGTCAAATCATTCTTTAAAATCGAATTCCTGTTTTCGAGGCATAAATCTACTACTTAAATGTGTTTTGCAGCCAAAAACTATAAGCGTTTCTTTTGATCACGGTATTATAAACGATTCTGATGTTGCTGAAACGTTTTTAAGAATGAATTGCAAAGGTTGGAGAAAACTGAAGTTAAAATCACACAAGGTTCAAAGGTACTTGCTGAAATCGTACTTAAAAAGATACTCAGAGCTTTTAAACTATTCAAATATTCATAGTAATTTGAACTCGATTCCTTCTCATTTGCATTTTAAAATTAAAACATCTGGGGTTCCAAAAAACGATAATATTAGAGGCATCCAAGCGATTTGGTTGGTAGATGATGATATTCTACAAAATGATCACGCTCGATGGCTGTCTGATGGGAATGAAATAAACTATAAAAACGAAATTGACAAGTATTTTTCTTTTACAACTCCTGAATCTGTAGACGACGAATTTTTCAAACCCTTAAACGAACCTAATGGTTGGTGTATTTCCTTTTCCAAAAATAAACAATTTTTGGCGGTTGGCACTAACAAAGGCTCAATTTATATTTGGTCTGTTTCGGTGCCCCAAATCGATGAAACAATTGAAGAATATTTGAGTGCCTGCGCGGAAAAAAACAACGATGATTTACATATGGCACTGATGGATCATTATAAGTTTTTAACGCGTTTCACGGTTTTAGATGGACACTACAAAGGAGTTTTGGCTCTTTCCTGGGTAAACTCAGACAGCACTAAGTTACTTTTATCTGTAAGTCAAGACAATACAATACGAATCTGGAGTAATTTACTTGGTTCAGAACTGTGTCAAATATCTTGTTCATCAACCCCAATCAATGTTTTCAGTTTTGAGATTAACAATGAAAGTTTTATTTTATCCAGTTTTATAAATGGAGAAAATTGCTTGTACCAAGTATCTCCCGGATTTAACGAAATTACTAAAAAATGTCAAGAACTGACGGATAGAGTTAGTTTTCAAACAAAGTCCGTAACTGGAAAATCAATTTTCTCTGAGCCAATATCGATCAAGTTGTTATATACTTCCGTTCTTAATTTATGCATTACCTGCTCGGCTATAAATGTAACAAAAAAGCTTATCGCTGTAGCAACAGCAAGATTCACTTTATTACTATTAGATTTAATGTCTGGCAAAATCATTAAAGAATTGTTTATTAGGAACGCATGTAAAGGAACCTCGGACCGAATTATTTCAGTAACTTTTTATTCAGACAGTAATTTCATCGCTATCACATCAAGTGATTCGAAAATTAGATTAGTCAATATATACGATCAAAATCGCTTTATCAAGTTTAAAAATAAAAGCAAACCAAAGTTAAGGTCAACCGTTACCAAAGATAACAAGTATCTTTTAAGTGTTTGTGAAGACGGAAAAACATATTTATGGGACGTTGAATTTGCTAATTGCACTTTGATTCAGAAGTCAAATAAAAAATACTCGTTACGACATTTATTTTGGAGAAAACCTTTAGAACAAAACAATGTTAATATATCTTCAAAAGTGATTTATCATGAACAAAAATGGAAACAACGTGTGAGTAATCAAAACATTGACTTGTTAAACGAGGCTAATGATGAAAAATGCAATATTGGAAACATGATTGTGGAAGCTCAAACCAAGGAGACTTGTAGAATGAGTTGCAAGCCAATATGTTCATACAGCCTTACAGAAACGTGTATCACAGCTTTTGAAGGAATAAACTACATTGATAAAATAAACCATTCTATTTATTTATTTATTTACACAACTGCAACGAACAAAATATATGTTTGTGCTGCAATAATAGCCTAGAATTTGCAAATAAAAACAATATCCAAAATTCTATATATCAAAAAAAATTAGTTTGGTATGATTAACAAAATTATCCAAGTCAGATTCTGTGTCGAACAGATTACTACTTAAGGATAATATTGACAAAGACGGCAACACTGAATGAATGTCACTTGGAATAGACCTCAAGGAGTTATGATTAAATAAAAGCACTTTTAAATTAGTAAAATTACCGTCACCGATGGCAAAAGAAATTATACTATTATAAGTAAAGTTGAACGTTTCAATTTGGGCTTGGAATTGCGATAATGATAAGTTGCAAAAAATTTTAAAAACTGAATCGAGAAAAATATTATCATTAAAAATTTCTTGAAATATTGGGAACATGTATTTTGTGACAGCTGTTAAATGAACCTTTTCAAGACGATTATTAGCGAAATCAATCGCTAAGAACTTATAAGCAAAATCAACTTCATTAATTGGCGTTTCTTGAATAATCGAATTTGTGCGAGTAAAAGCAAAAAACGCTTCCTTTATAGATTTTTCGTTCAACTCGACCCATGAAATATCATTAATACCCAGATTATTAAAATGTAAGCATAGTTGGTTCTTGTATCTTGAAAATCTCATTTAATAAATTTTAATTATTATTAACGACCCTCTAAAATTATTTAGTCGTCGTAACAGATTATTCGAGCCGAGCACGTGTTATAGGCCGAAGCACTTAGTTCTACAGCATCAATAAACTGTTGGATTGACATGTTTCCAGTGTCGCTAAGTCCCAGTGCAAATGTCAAACCATCCAAAATTTGTTTGTCCAGCAACAATGCGAATATTTCTACTGTGACTACTGCGTCACCGACAAAATCACAAACAACAGGTAACATTCCATTGTAGATGTCAACGCCTTGGCTACTTTCGTAAAAATTAAAGTATATATACGGCTGATTGTCGATGACAATTGTTTCTAGAATCTTACTCAGAGGGTTTAAAATTTTACCGTCAACAAACTCGAGTAAATCGTGGAACGGAGCATTTTTGTCTCTGTACATTTCTGCGATACTCACTATTTCGACGATTGTTGACATTAAAAGCTTCATTGTAGATCGTTTTAAAGCTAGCTCAGCGGGGTAAAGTGTTGTTTTGGAGTCTAAATGATAGCGATTAATAACCGAATCGAGCAAATCGGAAGAAACTGTCAATTCGTACGGTTCTGCTACGTATCGAACAAACCCAGAAGGTCCTGAATGGCTAATGTATGGCGATTCTTTTGTTTTAACTAAAGGCCGGTAATTAACGTGAAAGCTTTTGGGAACAGGAAATTTTTGGTTCAGGCCTTTGTCCTGAAAATGAGCTACGCTATCTTTAGTGTACTTGCCGATTTTTGTCACCGGTATACAACTGATATCCCCTAGATTTTTTAAAATATACCCGCTGTCTCTAATTCTCGGTTCGAAAAGGTTTAAATTTGAAAGCATAGACTTGTTTAGGATCGATCTTTGTTCAGTTATTTCTGGCTCTACATCAATTACCCAATTGTGCGCTTTGCTAGAACCTTCTAGCAACGTGGCTTCTATTTTAACTTGTTTCCTTTCTAATGGATCTTTATTTTTTTTTTCTCTTAAATTACTAGGATCAGATAACTCAGCTGAATTATTACTAGACGTCAATTCACACTGTCCAATTGGTTCACCACTCAAAATAGCACGAACGATTGCCCAAAGATATTTTTGTACGTATAAGTCGTAATTTTCTATTGTAGGAGACAGATTCAATACTCCTTCTTCCCTCAGCGTATAAATAGTGGGCACAAACTTAGGGTGACGAATCACATTTGGATTGATAATATCATTTTTTGATGTGTTGCAGGTCCAAAAATCTTTTCTGGCTATGGGGCAATCGTCTGAACTGAAGCATGGCAAATAGTCAGCTCTTAATCTAGACTCTTGCACGTAGGGGCTAATGGCTTGAACGGCTGCCAAATAGTAAACGATTTTTAATAACATAGTTAATTAATATACTTTATTAGTTTCGAACTTGTGATCAATAAGATGATTGGTTACAAAAAGCAGTCACCAATAAGGGTCAGTTGCTTTCGAATATTAACTTAAACACTGGAGCTTAAGATTTGGTCGGGTTATACTTAAAAGACTAATTATTTGAAATATCAAGAACAACGAAACTATTTTTCTTAATTAGTGTAAAAATTATTACAAAATAAACTCTAATTCGTCGTCAGAGTAAATTCGATTTAGCGTGTTGTGCACAAGCAACGCATTCTTTACATCCCATATTTCGATGTTCTTTGTTGTAAAATTATTGGATGATAAAGGGTAGAAGTCACTACTCATTTGTGAACTTGAAAAATCTTCAGAAAAATTTTTAGCTCGAGGCTTCACTAGCATGTTATTGTTTTTACAAGCTGGTGAATTTGCTTGGTATTGGTTTTCTTGATCTGAAGTGCTAAGTATAAATTGTTCTTTAGCAGCTTGCTGATCAGCGGAGAAGAAACCATTTTGAAAGAGCCTGTGGTTTTCTTCAAAAATTTTTGAATCGTCAATGCGATTTTTAATATTAAAAAAGTCATT